TCCCAAGTAGCTGGGACCACAGGCGCCCGCCACAACGCCCAGCTATTTTTTGGTTGCAGCTGTCATTGTTGCTTGGCGGCCCAGGCTGGATTCGAACCCGCCACCTTAGGTGTATGTGGCTAGTGCCCTAGCCACTTGAGCCACAGGCGCCAAACCAGATCTAAGTTTTTTAAAACTTACTTTTATGCTTAACATTTTTTTTCTTTTTTTTGCTGAGACAGAGTCTCACTTTGTCACCCTTGGTAGAGTGCTGTTATATCATAGCTCACAACAACCTCAAACTCTTGGGGCTCAAGTGATCCTCTTGCCTCAGCTTCCTGAGTAGCTGGGACTACAGGCACCTGCCACAATGCTTGGTTTTTTTTTTTTTTCTTTTTTGCAGTTATGGCCAGGGCTATGCTTGAACCCACCACCCCTGGTATATGCGACCGGTGCCCTACTCCTTGAGCCACAGGCACCACCCCACACCTGGCTATTTTTTAGGGACAGGGTCCAGCTCTTGCTAAGGTTGGTGTCCAACTTGTGAGCTCAAGCAATCCATCCCCCTTAGCTTCTCAGAGTTCTAGGATTATAGGAGCGAGCCACTGTGCCTCATCTTATTTTTAACATTTTTCAGAGAGATAGGTCTTGCTGTGTTCCCTAGGCTGGTCTCTAATTCCTAGCCTAAGCAATCTTCCCCTGCCTCCTCACCCTCCCAAACTACTGAGATTCCAGGTGTAAGCCATCATCATCGTGCTCAGCCAGATCTAGATTTAAATCATAGTTCTGCCATATGTAAATTAGGAATAATAAATACTAACCAACCTATGCTGTCAGGAGGAGCAAATGTAATAAATGTATCAGTGACAGCATGGTTGTGCTGAATATTTAACAAGTGCTTTTGAAAAAATGCTTTAATTTTTCTTAGCAAGCAGGATGTTTAAGTAGTGCCCATGGGACCACTACCTGTGGAAAGGAGGGGAAAGAAGCAGGAGCAGAGGAAGGAGTTGAGCTGAGATTCAAAGTCCTGAGGGCTCTACAACTAGAAGGACCCTTCAGCATTGTTAGAGTTGACCCAAGATGTCTGGACCCTTAACCCTCTTTTCACTGATCAGTCAATGGATGTGGGCCACCTTGTGAAGGGGACTTTTGGGTGCAGTGGCTCTTGTCAACAGAGGAAATACTAAGTTACTGACACTTGAAGGCTGTCTGCCCTATCTGCCATTCCTGCAACCTAAAACTAGGCAGCCACAATAAGCAATGTCTACCACAATAAGCAGCTCAGGGTACACAGCTATAAAGGGGAGGACCCAGACTGATCTATTGCTTCTTTTCAAATATCTGTAATTTTGAGGAGGATGAAGGAAATGGAGTAGAAAAGCAAGATGGGGATGGTAGACAATTTTATGGTTTTGCAAATCAATTTAGGACATGTGCTCCTCTGCATTTGGACATGTTGAGGATGGAGTGGGTCATACAACTTGGGAGGAGAAAAGGCATCAATTTTTGTCTTCCCTTTGTTCTTGCTATAGTCTCAGTGCCCATCTCCCCATAGTGCCCTCCCTGACACCCTTATCCCAGCTGGTCGATCCACAGCATTCCTGACAAGAGCTCAATTTGAACAGACCCCAGAAGTTACCTTGTTTGACTACCATCACAAATGAAGAATTTGAGGCCCACAGAAGCAGTGAAGCATGGGTCCTCTCTCACAGCACCCAAATCTTTCCTCAGGGCTCACCTCCCTTGGCTGTCCTTGTAGAAATCCAATGAAAACCCAAAGTGGCTGGCATTGGGGCCCGTATAGAAGGTGAGCTGCACTGGGTCCAGGTTCAATGCCCAGGTAGGAGGGGAAGCACCAGGTCCCACAAGCAGCAGCACCCACTCCAGAAGCCAGAGGACATGCGGTAAACACAAAGCTCTGGCCATCTTCTTCTCCCACAATCTCCTCAGCAAGAATGGGCCAGGTCTTTCCTTTTCCCTTCAGTTTCCACTTCAGGAAGTCTTTTCTTATCAAATTGGAACCCAAAGTAACTTGCTGGGCAGTGGGCGGAGCAAAAGCCTCTGGACCCATTAAGTTTTCTAGGATTGCCAGGAAGGTGATGAGGCCACTCTATAGATGGTTATGGCTGAAAGCCACGACTCCTCCCTTTTCCTGAGAGTAGTTTATAACAAGTCTGATTGGTTCTGTCTCTCAACTACATCTCTTGAATCTTAACTTCAGCTCTAATACCACCATGCTAATCAAAGCCACCATCACTTTCTGTTTGGAATAGTGGAATTGTGAAATATGTCCATATTTCACATAGTAGGGCTAGCTCTACTCTAGCCCACAGTTCAACATCTCTTCCCTCCTCTCATCCAGCTGGCTGCACTGCTGTGGCACTTTGTGACTTGGGCAGAGGTGGGGGAAGGAAGTTGCTGCTGCTCTTTGATAAGACTTGAAGCTGCTGTATCTTTTTGGATAAGCCACTTATCCACTTCCTCCTTCTAGGGCCTTGGACAGCCTCAGTCAGCCATGTTGGTGCAGCAACTTGTCTCAAGTTTTAGTGTAGCCACAGCAGTGCAGCCAGTGCAGGGGACATAGTGGTGAATGGGTATAAGGTGTAATCACTGCACGGTATTTTGGCTCACAGGCTCTGAGACTATGCACTAGTGCACAGGTGAAGCTGGGTGATGGAGCTCTTATCCAACCACCAAGACTTGATTCTGGTTCGGGTTTTTGCTGAGGACAAACACTAGGGTGTAGAACTGATCACACTTTTTAGTCGAGGTCTGTTCACAGGATTGTGTAAACGAGTCCCTTGAGAGCAAGACTCCTTTCTATAGCAGAAGCCTGGCCAAGAGCCCAATATGCAACAGGTTAATACCTGAAAGACTGAATGTAACCATGCACTAAGGATGGAAGATGAAAACCTAGGGTGACAATAGAAAGAATGAGTTTTGAGCAGAAAGGCAAAGTCATTTTCTTTCTCTTTTTTTAGAGACAGTCTCATTTTGGTAGACTGCCATGGCATCACAGCTCACAGCCACTTCCAGCTCTTGGGCTTAGGCGATTCTCTTGCCTCAGCCTCCCGAGTAGCTGGGACTATAGGCGCCTGCCACAATGTCTGGCTATTTTTTTTTGTTGTTGTTGTTTCAGTTTGGCCAGGGCTGGGTTTGAACCCACCACCCTTGGTATATGGGACTGGCACCCTTGGTATATGGGACTGGCACCCTACTCAGTGAGCCACAGGTGCTGCCTGCTGGCTATTTTTTGTTGTAGTTTGGCTGGGACTGGGTTCAAACCCGCCACCCTTGGTATATGGGGCTGGTGCCCTACTCACTGAGCGACAGGCCCTGCCCAGCAAAGTCATTTTCTTTATGTAGAGATGGGGTCTTACTCTGCACCCAGGCTGGAGTATAATGCACACCACTATGCTCAGGTAATATTTTTTTCAGGTAATTTTTTTATTTTTTGTGGAGACAAGATCTTGCTATATTGCTCAGGCTGGTCTCAAACTTTAGGCCTTAGGCAATCTTCTTGCCTCAGCCTCCCACAGTGCTAGGATTACAGGTGTGAGCCACTTCACCCAGCTGGCAAAGTAATTTCCTGTGGATTGTAGGAAGAAGAGTACCAAGCCTTACTGGCACTCATGCCTTCCCCAAAGAGCAGGTTCTCAGGAAGGAGATTCAAGAGGTCTGCTAGGGGTAAAGGAATATAGCCACATCCTCTTTTGATTTCTGTTTTCTGGAAACATAGCTTTATCCTGCTCAACTACTTCGTGCCATTCTGAAGTCCTCTCAGTTCCTCCCTTCCCCTCATACTTCACCACTTCAGCACACAGCTAAGAATTCAATCCTTAACTGGGCTTGAAGCTCCTGGGCTTTTTTTTTTTTTTGAGACAGAGTCTTGCTCTGTCACCCTGGCTAGAGTGCAGTGGCGTCATCATAGCTCACTGCACCCTCAAGCTCCTGGGTTCAAGCAATCCTCCTGCTTCAGCCTCCTGAGTAGGTTGGACTATAGGAGCATGCCACCAGTCCTGGCTAATTTTTCTATTTTTAGTAGAGATGAGGTCTCCCTCTTCCTCAGGCTGGTCTTACACTCCTGACCTCAAGCAATCCTCCTACCTCAGCCTCTCAAAGTGCTAGGATTATAGGTGTGAACCACCACACCTGACCTAGAATGGCCTTTCTTCACTGCTGAATTCCCAGTGTCTAGTTCAGGCGTCTTCAAACTACGGCCTGTGGGCCACATGCGGCCCGCCTAGGACATTTATCCAGTCCGCTGGGTGTTTTTGCCGCCGCTGCCTGTCCTGCTTAGCAGCTGACTCATCCTGGGGCCCGCAGTCCAGCCCTCCAACGGTCTAAGGGACAGCGAACTGGCCCCCTGTTTAAAAAGTATGAGGACCCCTGGTCTAGTTCATGGTAGGCACGTAATTTGTTAGAATGAATACTTAACCCAGTCTTCTACTTACCCTCTCACTATCTTCAACTGATTACTATATTACTAGTGTCGTCTGTAAGCCCAATATTAATATACATTTCACTCATTTTTATTTATTATTGAGACAGTTTCACTCTGTTACCCTCAGTAGAGTGCCGTGGCGTCACAGCTCATAGCAACCTTCAACTCTTACGATTCTCTTGCCTCAGCCTCCCAAGTAGCTGGGATTATAGCCACCTGCCACAATGCCCAGCTATTTTTTGGTTCTAGTTGTCATTGTTGTTTGGCAGGCCCGGGCTGGGTTCGAACCCGCCAGCTCTGGTGTATGTGGCTGGCACCCTAGCCGCTGAGCTACAGGCACCGAGCCAGTATGCCTGTTTTATAAATGCAAAAATTATGGCACAAGACATTTTTAGGTACATTGCCCAAGTTGAGGCAGCCAATAAAAGTCAAAACTAGGATTCAAACACAGGTTGCACTTGAACCCATGTTCAAATTGCCTTTTGTCAATGAATGGAGTTTTTAGACATAGGGAATAACCTAAGCAAAGAGAGCAGCAAAAAAACAGGTCACTTATAGGGAAGAGCAAGTAGTTGAGACTGAGGCACCAAGTTGGAAAGAGAGACTGGGGCTAAGTCACCATATGTTCTTGAATGCCATACTAAGGAATATAAACTTTAATTTGTAGGAGATAGAATATCATTTAGTTTTACTCTTGCTCAGGCTAGAACTCCTGAGCTCAAGCAATCCACCTGCCTCAACCTTTCAGAGTGCTAGGATTACAGACATGAGCCACAACCTCATGCCATACTTTTATATATTTTTTATTTTTCTTTCTGTAGTTTGGCCAGGGCTGGGTTTGAACCTGCCACAGTCGGTATATGGGGCCGGCACCCTACTCACTGAGCTACATACTGCCATCATACTTTTAAAGTCAGGTGATAAGAGATCCAATGGTCAGTTGTGCTCCAATCTGGAAGATTATGCTGGCTGCCTGTGGATAGAAGGAACTGGAAAAGAATTTGGTGGGAAGACCAGATGAGTAGTGACTGTAATCCTCTGGGTTCAAGGCAATAGGGTCTGGATTGGGTACTGGTGGCAAGAAAAGGAGTGAACAAAGATTATATAATCAGTTAACTATGTGTGTCAAAGGTAATTCAGAGGTTTGGTGCCTGCTGGCTGGGAGGACAGTGGTATCATTAACTAAAACTAGAAGCACAGGTGGAGGGAAGTACAGATTTGGGAAAGGAGAGGAGCCAGATATTCAATATAGATTGTGTTCCTTTCATGTCAGAGCTGGGTTGATCTCCCTTTTGAGACAATGAGCTGAGGAATACTGACATTATCGTTCCCATTTTCCCATCACATCATCTAAAGGCCCTAGAAACCCATAACGAATTTATAGTTCTTTTAAGGCTACATTTGGGTTTTTTTTTTTGAGACAGAGTTTCACTATGTCGATCTTGGTAGAGTGCCATGACGTCACAACTCACAGCAACCTCAAGCGCTTGGGCTTAAGCAATTCTCTTGCCTCAACCTCTCAAGTAGCTTGGACTATGGGCATCCACCACAATGCCCGGCTATTTTTTATTGCAGTTGTCATTGTTTAGCTGGCCCGAGCTGGGTTCGAACCCACCAGGCTTGGTGTATGTGGCTGGGCCGTAACCACTGTGCTATGGGCACCAAGCCATTTGGCCAACATTTTTAGACAAGGTGTCACTCTATTGCCCAGGCTAGAGTGCAGTAGTACTATCATAGCACACTGCAATCTCAAACTCCTGGGCTTAAGTGATCCTTCTGCCTCAGCCTCCTACACAGCTGGGACTTCAGGTGCATAACATCACACCTGGCTCATTTCTTTTTTCTTTTAGAGACAGAGTCTCATTTTATCGCCCTCCATAGAGTGCCATAGCATCACAGCTCACAGCAACCTCCAGTTCTTGGACTTAGGCAATTTTCTTGCCTCAGCCTCCCAAGTAGCTGGGACTATAGGCAC